CCTCCCGCTCCGCGGCCCTAATTAGTTCCTTTCGCAGCTGGAGCTGCGGCGCGGGCGCCCGGCAGCGCGACCACCTTGGCGCCGCCTCCCCGGCCGGCTGCCTGCGGGGCGGGGGTCAGGCCAGGAGGGACCGAGCGCTCGGGGGACCTCACAACCCCGCGCTAGTCGCATCCCCTCGGAACCAGCGGGAAACTGAGGCCAGGGGTTCCGCAACCCCTGGGGAAGGGACTGTGCGCTGCGCCCCGGGGTAGCTGCTGGTGCCGGCCTTGGGGCTGTGGGAGAGGAGTGGCTCCTGCCCCACTGCCGGCTCCTCCACTGGTTAAGAAACTTGCCTGCACCCTCAGAGCAAGGCAGGTCACCCTTCGGAGCGTCCCTGTCCTCCTCCAGAAAACGGGACACCGAGTGTCCATCTCCCCGCCCTCCTGGTGGTTGTGAACGTAAATCCGATGGTGGGTGTCTGGTCCCGGAGGTGATCACAGCGGCAGTCCCGGGGGTCCAGGCCCTGAGAACGCCCTCTGGGCCTCGAAGGCCCAGGAGAGCCGGACCCTGGCTCTCGCCTGTCCCCCTTCACCTAGCCCAGGAACAGAGCAGAGCGGAGCCCAGAACCAGCTGCTCATGGCCTGGGGGGTGGAAGGGGACACTCTGAGGTTGGCCAAGGTCAGAACAGGAGTGGGGTCACAGGCGGTCTTTCCTCTGGGGTGGGGCCGCCACTGGGAGGAAAATCTGGGTGGGGCCAGCCTGGGGTGGAGAGGGTGCTGGGAGCTGTGGGCTTTTGGGGCGGCTCCTTCCTCCTTTCCCAGGAGTGGGGAGGGGCAGCCTCTGGGCAGGGCTCTGGCTTCCATCAAAATGAACCCCTGCCTCCCTGGGCAGAACCCAGTAGCAGGAAGTGGGGGGTAGGGTGGGGTCTCTGAGGACTGGGCCTGCTGATTAAGGGGGATGATTGAGTCCCCCCCACCTTGGGCACTGTGCCTGGCCTGCCCCTGAGAGACAGGCCTCTTTTGGGGCCCTCCCTAGTTTAGGTTGAGGCAGTGTCTCCTGCAGGTCTTCAGAACAAGATGACCCAGGGCTTTTCCCCACCTTGCCCCAGCCTGAGGGGGGTGCAGTAGGGCAGGTGCCAAAGGATGTTTTTTTGGGCAGTGTCAGCAATGAGAGTCAGTGTCAGTTTGAATTCCCAGTTCCCAAACCATCCTGCCCTCATGGTCCCCTTCTCTGGAAGGTTGGGTTGGGGGTGGGGGACAGAGGCTGTGGGGAGGCCTGTGGCCCTAGGCCAGCCCAAGGACCAGGCCACCAGCCCTTCCTGGCTCCTGAATTCTTAATCAGCATAAATATTTACTTCCTTCCTCCCCTTCCAGGCTCCCAGCACAGAGGAGCTTCAGGGAGGTTGGACTGGGCCTGTGTCTAAAAATAAACAGGTGGAGGGACAGGCAGACACACAGACAGACAGACAGACATAACTGGGGGGTGGGTCAGGCAGAGGGCAGCTCCCTGCCCAGCCAGAGGAGTGGAGGGGGCCCAGGTCCATCTGTCACTGTCACCCACCCACCTGCCCGCCTGGGTCTGGAGCTCCTGAAGGACAGAGTGGTGGTCTGGTCCCAGCCCCTCTCGCATCGCTGCACTGGCCCATGCATGGCAGGGGTGGGGGGTGGGGCAAATCCAAACAGATCCGATGGCTCCCACCTGAGGGAGTTTAACAGGGTCAAGTCAAGTCACAGACCTGGGTCCCATGGCCAAGTGCAGCCGCCTGGGCTCTGATAATGCAGCTTCCTCCCTGGGCTCAGAGCCTCCAGTGTTAGCCATGTTTTAGTGGGGTCCTGGGATGTGTCCTCAGAAGCAGAGGGTCCTAGTGAAGGAGGAGACTGCCTTCTTCCTTGGGTGCTTGGAGGGTCTTGGCAGAAGTGGAGCTCGTCTGGGGAGATGGATGAGCCGGGGCTCAGAACCGGGTGAAGACGGGTTTAAAGTTGCTGAGTGGGGACGTGGGGGCTGTCTTCCCCCGTCCTGCTCCATAGAGAGAGCTCCTGGCAGCTCTGCATGGATGTGGGCAACACTGGCCCCAAGGAGACACACACACACACACACACACACACACACACACACACACACACACACACACTATGCAAGGTCTTTCGCCATGGGGTGGTTACGGGAATGTTCTGTATTAAATTGTGAAACCCAGATTCAATGAATGGCAGGGGTATCTTATAGCGGTGGCTTGTTTAGCAGATAGATGCTCATGCTGCAATCATCTCACTTAACACAGGCAAGGAAAACACTGTTTCCCTGCATGTGAAAAGATTGTCTCTGGAAGTTTGAATTTGGAATGAAGTTACTCTGCTCTTGGGTCATTTATATGTGAAGAAAATTGCACCATTGAGAAAATGGTGAAAATTCTGACATGAGAACTCATAGTAAAAGAATATCATCACCAGTAAAAAATAATATATGTATACATTTTACTAACCACAGACAGAGCTGATCCACTTCCCCCCCACCCTGCCCCTGTCTGGGCCACAGTCCCTAGCTGCCCCCTGGTGGCAGCCCAGCGCCCTGTGGCTCCCTGTGCCTGTGGGGACCTCTACTCTGGACATCACCTGGGAGGCAAGGCCACATGTCTGCAGCCCCACCCCTTGGGGCCAGGCTTTGCACAGCTTGCCTGGGACAAGCTCTCAGCCTGGTTCCCTCTGAGGTAACCACAGATGCCTAGGTGGCCCGGCACGGTGGGCGCTCAGCACTCAGTAACTGAGGACCACTAATGGGCACCTTGGAGGACACTCATTGGTCCCCTGGCCTGGTTCTGGGTCTTCTGGCTCAAACCAGGCATGTGTCCCAGGCATGACTTCCCACTCAGTCAGAAGTGACCTTTGAGACTTGGCTGGCCAGTTCCAGGGAGATCTGGCCTTGAATCTGGTGACTCGGCCACTTCCTATCTCTGCAACCTGAGGCAGTGTCTCTAAAACTTAGTTTCATGGCAGAATAGACTCTATCGGCTTTGCTTCTCAGAAGAATCTCATGGGAAGTGGACATGGAAGCTCTGAGTAGGTGGCAGGCTCTCTATGATACCCGCTGTCTAGGGCCACTCAGAGGGTCTCCCAGGGAGACAGCCCTCACACTGCCCCACACCCACTGCCTCTCTGCTCCTGGGGGCTTTAATGGATGCAGCTCGAGGAGGAGTTCAGGGTCATAGTGTCACAGCACGGCTCCTGTCCTCCCCCAGGTTCCTGCCTGAATCCCAGCTTGGGAGCCCCCAGCTGCCTGCTGCCACCCCCAACCCCAGCCCCCCATCACCATGCACTCCTTGGACGAGCCGCTCGACCTGAAGCTGAGCATCACCAAGCTCCGGGCGGCGAGAGAGAAGCGGGAGAGGACGCTGAGTGCGGTCCGGCACCGAGCTCTGCACAGGGAGCTCGGCCTGGTGGACGACAGCCCCACCCCGGGCTCCCCGGGCTCCCCACCCTCAGGTGCTGCACCCCGGGCAGGGCAGGGTTCCCTGGGCCCTGATGGAGCTGTGGCAATAGGAAGAATGTCCAAGTTGTGTCCACCTGGACGTAACTGCAGCCCCTCCCAGCTTCCGGCTTAGAGCGCTCCCCACACTCTGTCCGTTCATCCCCTGCAGTTTATCTTTGGAGGTAACGTTGTCCCCTGGAGGAGGGGACTGACTTGCCCAGCTCACAAAGCTGGCGCAGCTGAGCCAGGAATTAAACTGAGGCTTCTGGGAGGATTTGAAGCAGTTGGTAAGGGGAGCGGGGGATTCACAAGTAGTGATAAAAGGCCCTGTGACCCAGCTCCTGGGCTTTGAGGCAGTGCGGCTGGTCAGCCAGGTCAACAGATTGGGGACCAAGTCCAGCAAGTGCTCTCAGCGGGTGCTTGGGGCTCTGGCCTTCTGTTCCGGTGGACCCTGAAAACCAGATCTACCACGTCTGGGCTGGAAGGGTCTGGAAGCAGCCCAACCAAACTTCTCATGTTACAGAAGGGAGCACTGAGGCAAAGGGGTCCAGGAAAAGTTAGAAAGGTCCCTTCCTGTCAAGATGACGGGGAGCCAGGGGGCTTGGGTTCTAGTTCCTATTCAGTTCTCCTCCCTGTGTGCCAGCCATTCCCAGCTGTAAAATGGGTACTTCCCACTTCCCGTCTTAACTGACGGCTAAGTTCTCACCAGCGTGGTCCAGGGGGGCGTGGCAAGGCTGGTGTCTGCTTCCAGGGTCAGAGGTGGGAGGGCCTGGCCCACAAGGACTCCTGGCTCCAGCACCCCTGAATCATGCCTCTCCCTTAGGCTTCCTGCTGAACCCCAAGTTTCCCGAGAAGGTGGAGGGGCACTTTTCGGCAGCCCCTCTGGTGGACCTCAGCTTGTCGCCACCGTCTGGGCTGGACTCCCCCAATGGCAGCAGCTCACTGTCCCCTGAGCGCCAGGGCAACGGGGACCTGCCTGCTGTGCCCACCGCCCCGGTAAGGAGGGGTGCGGGTTCTGGAGAGAGAAGGTGTATTGGTTTCCGGGGGCTGCCGTAACAAAGGACCACAAACTGGGTGGCTTAAAACAACAGAAATGTATTATTCTCTCACAATTTTGGAAGCTAAAGTCCAAAAATCAAGGTATGGACAGAGCCGTGCTCCCTCTGAAGGCTCTAGGCTGGGAGCCTTCCTGCCTCTTCAGCCTCTGGAGGCTCCAGGCGGTCCTTGACTCCAGTCTCTGCCTCCGTCGTCACACTGCCGCCTTGCCTCTGTCTCTGTATCCAAATCTCCCCTCCTTTCTCTCATGGAGACATCGGTCACTGGATTTAGGGCTCCCCAGTCCAGTCTGACCTCCTCTTCACTTGATTACCTCTGCAGAGACCCTGTTTCCAGATAAGGTCACACGCACAGGTATGGGGGGTTAGGACTGAGAGACATATCCTTGTGGGGGACACAACTCAACCCACTGCAGTAGACAGGGAGTCCAGGCCCACTGGCCCAGCGGGGCACTGACCAGCTCTGCCCCTTGCCCTGTCACCCCAGGACTTCCAGCCACTGCGCTATCTGGACGGCATCCCCAGCTCCTTCCAGTTCTTCCTGCCTCTGGGCTCCGGGGGGGCCCTGCACCTGCCTGCTTCCTCCTTCCTCACCCCCCCCAAGGACAAGTGCCTCTCGCCAGAGCTACCCCTGCCCAAGCAGCTGGTGTGTCGCTGGGCCAAGGTGAGTGGGGGCCGGGAAGAGTGGGGTATGGTCCAGGGCAGGTGGCCCCATGTGGGCTCAGAACCCTCCCTGCCCCCGCAGTGTAACCAGCTCTTTGAGCTCCTGCAAGACCTGGTGGACCATGTCAACGACTACCATGTCAAGCCCGAGAAGGATGCGGGGTACTGCTGCCACTGGGAGGGTTGTGCCCGCCACGGCCGAGGCTTCAATGCCAGGTGAGGGAGGGCACCAGGTGAGGGGGGGGTGAGAGGGGCGAGAGGGGTGGGGGGGAAGGGCGCAGGCATCCAGCCAGCTGAGCCGCATTTCCATGCCCTCCCTGGAGCAGGTACAAGATGCTCATCCACATCCGCACGCACACCAACGAGAAGCCACACCGCTGCCCCACCTGCAGCAAGAGCTTCTCTCGCCTGGAGAACCTGAAGATCCACAACCGGTCACACACAGGTGAGGCGCTGGGCTGGAGGGCGGGGGCCGGGTGGGCTGGCCACCGGCGGGGTGCCTGGCCATCCCAGAGATGAGGGACACAGCCCATCGCTTAGCAGTCCCTTTTGGGTACCACTTGCTGGGGGCACTCACCCTGTACATGCAAGAGCACAGACACATCGTCCTGTGTCACACTCGGCATTGCTATTCGGATGACTGAGGCCACCTATGACTTCAGACAGTGTGTCTGCTCCCCACCGTACCCCAACACACAGTATGCCAGCACTGGGCAGCAGAGCCACACCCCTAATTTTAAATTACCTAATCACCACATTAAAACAAGTACAAAGAAATAGGTGAAATGATTGTAATGATATATTTTCTTGAAGCTAATATATCCAAAATGTTATCATTTCAGTATTTTTAAAAAATCACTGAGACCTTGAAATTCTTCATTTTGTACAAAATCTGCAGAATCAGTGTTTTTTTCCCCTCTGGTGTGTATTTTACACTCACAGCACATCTCAGTTTGGACCGGCCACATTTCAAAGGCTCATAGCCTCATGTGGCTCCTGTTGTGGTCAGTGCAGGAGCAGATGGTTAGTGAATCCAGCCATTTTGCTGAATACGACCAGATAAAGGGCAGCGGGCACTCACGCCAAGCTCATTGTAGGCTGAGCCCCTAGTAGGGTCTTTATGCAGGTATATGATCGAAGTCATCGGTCTGCCTGTTGAAGTGGTCATCGTCATCCACAATTTGAAGTATAGGACTCAGGCCAAGGGCACGCAGTCAGGCCACAGCAAAGCTGGGGTGACCAGGCTGGCATCTCGCAGCTATGCCACACTGGCCCCACCTGGGGTCAGATCTTGTGCCAGGTGCTGGGGACACCACCCTCCAAATCGGACAGTTGGGCTCTCAGGGAGATCTTAGTCTGGGGGAGGGTCCTGGGGGCAGGAACCTGGACTAGGGAGACCTGGGAGGTGGGTGAGCCCCTCACACTGGCATGGCCTGCAGGTGAGAAGCCCTATGTCTGCCCCTACGAGGGCTGCAACAAGCGCTACTCCAACTCGAGTGACCGCTTCAAGCACACGCGCACTCACTACGTGGACAAGCCCTACTACTGCAAGATGCCCGGCTGCCACAAACGCTACACGGACCCCAGCTCGCTGCGCAAGCACATCAAGGCCCACGGCCACTTCGTGTCCCATGAGCAGCAAGAGCTCCTGCAGCTTCGCCCGCCCCCCAAACCCCCGCTGCCTGCCCCCGACGGCAGCCCCTACGTCAGCGGGGCCCAGATCATCATCCCCAACCCTGCCGCCCTCTTCGGAGGCCCCGGCCTGCCTGGCCTGCCCCTACCCCTGGGCCCCGGCCCCCTCGACCTCAGTGCTCTGGCCTGTGGCAACGGCGGGGGCGGTGGGGGTGCAGGGGGCATGGGCCCTGGGCTGCCAGGCCCCGTCCTGCCCCTCAATCTGGCCAAGAACCCGCTGCTGCCCTCGCCCTTTGGGGCTGGTGGACTGGGCCTGCCTGTGGTCTCCCTCCTCGCTGGCTCCGCTGGCGGCAAGGCCGAGGGGGAGAAGGGGCGTGGGCCAGGGCCGGCCAGGGCCCTGGGTGTGGAGGGCCGCAAGACACCCCTCGAGAGGACTGAGAGCAGCCGCTCCCGGCCAAGCCCTGATGGACTTCCCCTGCTGCCAGGCACTGTGCTGGACCTGTCCACGGGTGTCAACTCGGCGGCCAGCAGCCCAGAGGCACTCACTCCTGGCTGGGTGGTCATCCCACCAGGTTCCGTGCTGCTGAAACCGGCCGTGGTGAACTGAACCTGGTGGACAGCTTCCCGCCACCCAGCCAGCAGCTGCCGGCCCTGCCCCTGACGAACGGAAACTCTTCTGTGAAATAGCAATAACGTCCTCCTGCCCCTGTGGCCTGGTTGGCTGTGTTCCCCCGGCAGACCCAGCCTCAGACAAGCTGGGCAGCCAGGATGGTGCTAGAAGGTCATTGCTGGCGTCCCAGGCTCCCAAGGGAGGAACAGCTGTGCTCCTGGGTGCTGAGGCCTTGCTCACCTCTGGCCCTCCCCCTGCCCTGCCCTCCACCCAGCCCTCAGTCCCTATGGTCCCCAACCGTGGTGCCTCCCTCATCCAGTGGCCAATCTGGGCAGGTCGCCCTCCCTCCCTGCCTTGCTTACCTGCCAGCCACGTCCCCGCAGTGGGGGCAGCTGGGGTGGCCTCCCTGCTGCCATGGGGCTCCCTCCCCACCCCCTTCACATGGTGAGCTGTGATGAGGAGCCCCCTGGGATCAAAGCCCTACTGCCTCCTGCCTAGCCTTGCTGGGCCCCTGCTCTGGAGGCTCCTTGGACCCCTTTCCCTCTGGTCCACCCTCCAGAGGGAGAGCAAGACAGACGCAGGCCCTGGCAAAGCCACAGGAAAAAGCCACCTTATCCCTATGACAAGGTGCCTCCCCGCGTGGAGAGGGAGGCCCGCTCTGCCAGCTGCCCCTCACCACTCACCCCTCGCAAACAGCCAGCACGGCCCAAGGGTGGCCCCTTCTCTGGGTTGACAGTGCTCTCCAAAGTGGAGGGATAGCTGAACACCCACCTACTCCTTCACCACTGGGCCTCCCCTCTCGAGTTTCGGGGAGCCCTGCGAGTGTGGGGAGCAGAGCCCCGAGCGGGGAGGGGAGGAACAGGTGAGGCTGGGCCTGGCCTGGGGCAGTGCCACCCTATACAAGCAGCTGCAGTGTCAGGAGGTGGGAGGCTGGCTGAGGACAACCCCAGGCTGGGATGCAGCTCCCGTTCTGGGGACGCCAAGCCACAGCCAGCAAGCAAGCGAGGGAGGGCTCCAGGACAGTGCTGGGCATAGGAGCTTTCTGGAGGCCATGGACTGAAGGCCCTGGGCCTGGGGGCAGTGAAGCAGCCAAGGATGGCCATGGGAAGGCCTGGCCTCTCCGCCTGGGAAGGGGAAGATGGAGGAAGTTGTGACACGGCCATTTCCTTTGGCTTTTCCCAGCCAAACCCCTGTCTGAGAGGTGTCCCCCCCTTACTCCCACCCCCTGCCCGGCTCTCCCCCCATGGCAGGGGCTGGAATAAGCTAAGGATGCTGGTGTACCACGTGCCCCACAGCCATTGCCTGATCCCACCAGGCCCTGGGGACACAGCATGTGCTTCTCCCATCCTGAGTCCTTGCTGCTCCCTCCCTGGAAGTGGCCTGGTGCCATCTGGGAGGCGCTGGAGCTCTGGCTTCTTGGCCAGCCCTGTCCTTGGCCACAGTAACCAAGCACTCCATTTCCTCGGCTGTAGAACAAGGGAGCTGCGGAACAGCAGTGGGGTCTTTAGCAGCCCTGCAGTTCCAGGGCCCCCTGCTGTTCCTCTGAGCAGTTCTGCTGACCCTGCCCTTTCCTAGACTGCCCTTCTGTCCCAGAGGGGTCACCCTGACCCAGCCCGCCCTGACAGGGCCCCGCAGTGCTGGCTCTGCTCCTCGAAGGGGCTGTGAGCAAAGCAGGAAGGAGCTGGTCTCCTTTCTTCGGGCCCTACCCAGGACCCAGGCACCGCCCCCATCCCCATTAAGGGCCCCAGGCCTTAAGTCCCCGGCTGGGGGGTGAGGGGTTTGAGACTCAAGCCCAGGGAGCAGAGGAACAGGGCACTGGAAGGTGACATTAGCTCAGCATGTGACTTGGTGATAGACCAGGCTCGGAAGGGCCGGTGTATGTGTTGTCGTTGGTTTGTTGTTGCACATTCCAGGATATCAGTATTTTAACAGGTTCTAAGTGCCTTTCTATTGTAGCTTATGTTTTTCCTCCTCTTGGCTCCATTGCTGTTAGCATAGAGTTTAAAAAAAAAGAGATAAGCTAATGACTATAACAATATATTCCTCCATGTGAGAGGAAGTTTATAAAGAAACAATAAAAGTGAGTTGCAAAGATGGTTTCTGTCTTGGATGTGCCAGGAGCTGGGCCACCTGATCCAAGACCACCTCCAACTGCCCTGGGCCTGGCTCTTGGGTCACTCACCTGACTGTAGTACCCAGAGGCCCTGTTCTGGGGCTTCCTCCCGACCCTGTGGGTGCCACCACCTCTCCATCTTGCTGCTGGGCACTGGAAGGGAAGGGCAGGAGGGGTGCTCCCTCAGGTGCTGAGGGAGCACAAGTGCTTGGAGTTGAGATGGAAGATTCCAGACAAAGCGTCACAGGTTCAACCTCATCCACCACCTGCTGTGACTGGTGAGTGCCTTAGCTCCAGGGAGACCCAGCTCCAGGCCTCAGTCCAGTCAGAAGCTGGCAAAGACTTTTCCCCCAGCCACACGCCAGAGCCTTCCACCCAGATTACTGAGATGCTAGAGTCGAACCCAGCTCAGGGAGAGGTGGCCTCCGACAGAGCTCACGGGTCCAGGGCTCTTCCCAATGGAAGGGGCAGGGGCAGACCTGAGGATGGTGATGCCACGGGAGGAGCCTGGTGCTGTGACGGCAGGGGTGGCTGCGTCCGGTACGTGACAGAACATGGCTGGCTCTCCACGGGCAGGCAGGGCTGGGCTGGCAAGCTTCTTGCCAACCTTGCTCACTCCAGCCCCAGGGTGTCAAAGGCACGTTAACAGGGTGGTGGACGCCGCTGCCCCACCTCCCCAGCGCGCACAGCCCGAGCCCGCAGGAGGTGCAGCTTCCCTTTTGGAATCTGGATGTGCACACATGAGAAATGTGGAAAAAACATTTATTGCTGAGCTATAAATTAGAGGTGGCGAGGTGGGGTGGGGTGCGAGGAGCCAGTGATCACGTTGGGGGCGTCTGCTCTTTCTCTCTGTCCTCCTGGGCCTGGATTCTGAGCTCCTCATCAAGGCGCTCCTTCGCTCGAACCACCTGGGGACGCAGTTACAAAATGTCAGGCAGGGCGGCCTGCACAGGAGAGGCCTCGGACCCTCCCAGGTCCAGTTCCCACTGTGAGTCCCTGGAGATCAGTGGGCAGGTCTGAGGGGAATACAAATGCCTCCTTCACCAGTGCCCAGGCGGGGAGGGGTGGCCTGCGGGCTCCTCCCCAGGAGACAGAGCCCAGGGCCACGCTGACATCTGGGAGCTGAGATCACCCCACCAGCTAATGGGGTTCTGTTCCCTCAAAACCATGGCTGCCAGGAAGCCTACTGTCCAAGGTGACACAGGGCCCAGGCTGACACAACCTGACTGGCTGGGCCCCATGGAGCGGAGGCAGTCCGAGGGAGTAGCAGTTTAGGGGGGCCCCCTGAGGCTGTGGTACCAGGGAAAGGCTCAACACACCTTTCTACCTGCCAAGCTCTGAACTGCCTGGAAGTGAGGAACCCCAGTGAGGAGAGGTTTCGAGGCCCACCCTCCTCGCAGCATCAAAGACCACTCACCTTTGACTGCAGGTAGAAGGAACCGCCCACAGATTTATCGTTCACCTTGAATAGGTGCTCGTAGTTCTGCAGAGGAGGGGAGACGGTGAGAAGGTGTTCGGTCTCTGGGTTACAGAGGCAGGGGGAGCTAGGAGATGACAAAGAAGGAAAGCAAAAAGGCTCGACCCCTCCACCCTGCATGCCCTACTACATGACCGCGAAGGGGCAGAGAGGTGGACAGGTGTCCACGGAGGGAGGGACGCAGCTGCTACCACCAACTGCTCTATGTCTCTGCTGCCGCCTGTCTTGGGCCTAAAAACTAACAAGCAACAGTGGCTCCCACAAGTCCGAGTTCCAGCTGGCTGTAGCCAGAGCCTCCACTCCCTGCCCCTTTCTGCAGGCCTCCTTTACTCTTCCCCACCCTGGCGGCCTGTTTCCCCCACGCCCCATTTCTGGTTGGCCAGGGCAAGGCTTGTCTCAGACCCACCCTGTTGGCCTCACCTTCTGGATGTCCTCGGGGCTCAGCTTGGAGACATTGAGAATCTGCTGTGCCTCCTGGAGACTGAGGCCGGAGAGGTTAGAGGCAGCTGCAGACTGGTGTCCGGCACGTCCCCGGGCGTCAGCTGCTGCCCGGCTGGCTGTGTGGACATGGAAGTTAAGTGTTCTGCCCTCAGCAGCCCAGAACTCTCCCTGGGCCTTCCAAGTGGGCAGTTCACCCCTGCCAGGTAGCATGGAAGAGATACCAGGGACAGAGGTGCATCTCCTCTCCAGAAGTGGTTTAACTTTGGGGGGTGGGAGGTAGTGAAGTGAGGATAGATCTGCTCCACTGGAGGATAGAAGCAGGGTCTGGTCACCAAATCTGGGGCTCTGTCCCCAACCTAGACCATGAGAGGGCCCTGTCGCTCTTCTCTCCCTGCCCCCTCATCTTAGGCGCAGAGCAAGTTGGGGAGCTTTAGGTTACAATGGGGAGCAGAGTGAAGCTGCGGGCAGGGGAGGCAATAGCTTCAGTCGAGACCTGGCTGCCCACTGGTTACCTAGGCCACCAAAGCAGGTTGCCTAGGATGACCTCTTCCCTTTCAATGACGCTAGAATCAGGAGCCGGTAAATTTTTTCTTGAAGGGTCAGAGAGTAAATATTTTAGGCTTTGCAAACCAATTAGTCTGTGTTGCAATACTAGACTCTGCCTTGAAAGCAGCCTGAGGATGTGGCTGTGTTCCAATAAAGCTTTATTTACGTAAACAGGCAGCCAGGTGGGCCAGTTTCCCAACTCCTGCCTGATAAATGCTCATGTCAACCAGGTTTACCTTACATGGAAATGGCCCCAAGTCCAGCACTGCCCTCCACCACAGGACGTGCCCCAGGCTGCCAGAACCCAGGCCCGAAGAGGGGCTCTGCATTCACAATTGGCCCACGGTGACGGTGCCAAAGTTACAGAGAAAATCTGACCTGGGCAGGAGCTCCCAGCCCAGGGAGAGACAGGGGCCTAAGCTTACCTGCAAACTCCTGCCGCAGGGCCCGCGCAAAGGCCCTGCCCACCACCTGCACCCCCATCACGATGATCTGGGCCAGGTACTTGGCCTGTGGGCAAAGCAGACATCTGGTTAGCAGGCTGCATTCTCAGGGCCCCCAGAGATGGGCCCCTGGAGATGGCTGCTGGGGGCAAGGCGTCTGGAGAGCTGAGGTAATGAAGCACAGAGCAGCAGCCACAGGCCACTTCCTCCAAAGTACCCTGATATAAAGCTTCCGCTTTGGGTGGCTTCAGGTGCTCATCAGACAGCAGGCTAGGGGGTGAACTTGACGTAGTCCCCAGAGGCAGAGGGGTCCCTCCCTTGGCCTTCAGGAGAGGCAGACATGAGCCAAGGCAAAGCAGCTGCAGGGCACAGAGGTACTGGCTTTAGGAATAACACTGTAGCCAGGGAGCTGGAACCCAGGGTCAGTCCCAGACCTGCCATGAACTCACTCTGCCACTGTGGGCCAAAGAGGGCACTTCCTGCACTTCTGAGATCGGCTGGTCTAACCTTCATTCTACTAGTGGGGAAACTCGGAGCCCTCCTAATTCTCCCAACATTATTCAAGCCTGTTTTATTCAACACAACTCTCCACCTTCAAGCAGCAAAAAGCCCACTAGGTGGGCATTTAGACAAACATACCGAGGACCAAGTAGTCAGGGAGAGTAGGACCAGTCACCTGTTACTAGGAAGATGGGACAACGTACAGATCTTATTGTGAAGAGATGACACATAGACAGCACATGTATGTGTGTGAAATGGTACAAATGTGGGTGCATAGAGGATGCTCGAGAGAATGCTCACTTCAGGCCAACACTGCACGTTCAAATACTTTCCCTTCTTCTTTGTACTTTTCTGTAGTTAGATTTCCTATCAGTCAACAAGTATCAACTAAGCCCAGGTGCCAGGCACTGTGCCAAATACACTCTATTTATTGTACCAGTTAATCCCGACAAGATACTGAGGCACAGGGGGTTTAGTGACCAGCCTGAGGACACACAGCCAGTACTCGAGGAAAGGTGGGCAGGAAACCGAAAGTTAGCGCTATGAGCCACGCCATCCCCAGGCTGCCCACCTCACACAGCGTCCCGGGGTCTGCAGGGAGGGCGACCAAGCACCCTGACAAGGAATAAGGACCCAACCCAAGGCCAAAGAGGGGCTCGTCAGATTCTAGTGGAATTTAGACTCCAGAACCAGCCTTGTTTGGCCTCCAACGAACCTGCCGTTCCCTAACTGGCAGGGTGGAATGTGATTCTGGACCATTAGCAGGAATTAATCAATGGAAGTGGGTTTAGATTTTACAAGTAGGTGAAAATTTTGTAAGCCCCATATTTCACACCAGAAAGCAAAGCCCGGTGAGGATTCTTTCCTGGATCAGAGGGAGGGGCGGGGCTGCAGCCAGCCTCGCTCGCTGCAGGTGTCAACACAAGTGATGCACTGTTGAGTGGGGAATCTACATGACTACCCCTCCTCATCTAAAGCCACTCCCACGGGGACAGGCAGCTCTGAGATGGCTGACAGGCCAGAAGGTGACTCCAGAGGGTTCCCTCAGCCTGGAACACCCGTCAGGCCTCAGACAACAACTTCCTCTGCTGCCACTCACCCAGCGCAACCCTATTGCACTGTCTTGTCCTCACCTGTTCGCTGCAATGCCCAGGGCCGTGACTGTTGATAAATAATGAACATTAAGAACTGAGGCTTTAACTGGGTGGCTCTCCTCACATCCCCTGCAGGCTCCAAACCAAAGTGGCATGGTGGCCCCGTGGTTCCTGCTGCCAGAGCTCCATGGCTGCAGAGAAGGCTGGGCTGGCCTGCAAAGTTTCAGAGCCTAATCCGGCCGGCCAAGGGAGCTGCCTGGTCAGCCCCACTGGGGCCACCAAGGTTCCTGCAGGAGGCATCTCCCAGAAGAGGCAGTGTAGTGTGGTGGTTACACAAGTGAGCTTTGGAATCACCTCTGTGCCAATCCCAGCTGTGTGCCCTGGACAAGTTCTCAACCTCTCTGAGCCTCAGTTTCCTCACCTGTAAAATGTGGCCAAGAACAGGGCTATCATAGGGATTAAATGAGATAAAGCTTATCAAGTGCCTGGCACAGAGCCTGACGATACAGTAGGTGCTCAATAAACGTTTGTTTTCATTTATTACTATTCTATGTTTCACAAAGCGTGACAAGGGCCAGGCACCACAGAGTAACAAAGCTTCTCCCAGTACAGCAGCTCATTTGGTATATCCTGATTCCACAGGGGAGAATGCTGCAAAAAGGCAGGCTCTTTTCCTGGGGCGTGTAGAAGAGGAGTGAGAACGCTGCTTTGGAGTCAGGCTGACATAATCCAGAATCCCAGCTTTGCTTCTTGCTAACTGTATGGCCCTGGGCAAATTATTCAACCTCTCTGAACCTCAGTTTTCTCATCTGCAAAATGGAGAGAACACCCTCCTCATAGGAGAGCTGCAAGGCCCTCAGGAGGCAATGCACGTAAAACCAAGTGGACAGACGGACAGTGGCAGGTTCAGAGCAGCGCGACAGCTGCCTTTGCTTCTGGACCAGATCCTGCTTGGTGCTGAGTGGTCTAGAGAGCAGCGATGTAGCCAATCCTCTCATTCACCTATTCGGTACCCAGATCCTAGCTGTGGGTCAGCTATGCTTAGAGCTGAGGATTGGTGGGAAGCAGAGCTCTGCCAGCAGCAGCCACCACAGGTGATGAAGACAGCCACTGGCTGAGGCCTCTCCCAGAACGCCCTAAAACATCCCATAGTCCACTGACTGACACTCGGGCCCGAAGGCCCCAGACAAGAGCAACTGGCTGACACAGCGTTCAACTTCAGGCCAAACTGACAATCAAGGGGCAGAGGTCAGAGCCATAGACTCTGAGCCTGGGACCCACTGTGGACGGCACACATGCCTTCTCATCTGGGGACCAACGTGGTCCAGTGCAGGACCAAAGCCCTGCAGCCAGGGCAAAGGACCACAGGCAGTGTGGGGGTGGGGAGCACTCAGGAGTGTGGTTTATTCCACATCAAGTGCATTGAGAAGGGAACCTGAATTTCAGACAGACCGATGTGCAATGCTCCCTTCAAGGCAGTTCTAGGCCCTTGGGCTGGCAGGCAGAGACTGCCACTGAGACTCACCCCCTTCTCAAGGATGCACTGAGATAGGAAGGGGGCTCTGTTCACCCAGGGTCCCTGCAAACAGCTGCTGGCACCGGAACTAGGCAGGAGGGAGGTCAGGACCACAATTGTCACATTTGCTGACGTATGCCTGGGTCTGGCCTGTGGCTGGCACACCTGGTGCCCAATACATATTTGAATGAATGTGACACATAACCAGCTCACCATCAGCTCTGCTTTGGCCAAACTGAAGTCTCATAAACTCCAAGCCCCCAGGCAGGGTTTCCAAACGCCTCTCACTCCCTCTGCTAAAGGAGGGCTCTGGCCGTCCTCCCACAACACACACACAATACTCTACCACCACCACCTATAAATTCAGTCCACTCCCCAGCCTGGCATCCCCAGCTCTGTCTGGCTACAAACGACTTCTCTGGTTTCTTCTCCCCTCGCCTCTCTCCACCCTGCAGCCACACCACCTACTCCTAGATCAGCTCTCCTACTTTACCCCAAAGTCTCTGCAGCTCTGAATTCACACATCATACAAGTCGCTCTTCTAAAGTACACAATTCAGTGCTTCTTAGTATATTTAGAGTGTGTAACCATCACTAGTTCTAGAACATTTTCATCACCCTGCAAAAGAACTCCATACCCATTAACCTTAAATATCCTCCCTCCTACTCCCATACTCTGTCAAAATCCACCATCCTTCAAGACAGCTCAATACATCACCCTCCACTCCACTGAGGGAAACCTCCCCAGGCTGCTCCCATTTCTACCTTCCCAGAGCACCCTCTTTCTTTTCCTGTTAATATATTGTGACATTGTCCTATTTTACGGACTCGCCCGCTTTCTCCTTTAAGACACAAACTCCTCTAGAGCCACATTTGACTCGGTCCTTCAGGCTCAGGGTTACATGTGGGAATGCCTGTGAAGAACCCAGTTCAGCCGTGGTAGGTCCTCAGTAAATGGCAGTGATGGAATACTACAAGGCAGGAATGATGTGGTGGTAAACGTGTAGTCTCAGGACACAGAAGGAGCTGGGCTCAAAACCAGTCTCTGATACTTGTGGGATAAGTGACCCTGGAGGAGTCAAAATCTCTGAGCTTCAGGTTCCTTATCTGTAAAATGGGGACAATAAGAGTACTGACTTCATAGAAATTACAAGAGAATCTACATAAAGCCCCACTCAGGCCTGGTACTTGTAAGCTCTTATCCCTATCACTATCAAGTAAGAGGTGGCTCCCCAAGCTGGCTGCGTTAATCACTTGGGGGAACGTATATATACAACCTCCGGGGAAAGAGCTCGCGACCCTTCACTTTCAAAGGGTCCCCAGCTGACCTGAGGCAGCCAGAGAGGCCCAGGTCTGTGAACTGGCTCCAGGTGCCAATGGCACCGCAGAAGCGCTTGGTTTTCGGTGTCGCGGGGCCTGGTCCAAGTCCCAGTTGTGTCACTTCCCTGGGAAAGTCTCGGAGCCCGTTTCGTCAGCTTTCAAATGGGGATAATAATAGGGGGACACCATCAAGCAGCTCCGGGACAGAGCGGGGATTCGCGGGGGGATCAGCCGCCCCCTTGGCTGCGTGCACATGGGCGGGCGCACAGAGCGACCGCATCTACGGGCATTTCCTGCCTGCCAGGCCCGCCCTGCCTCCAGCCAGGCGGCTCTCCCGGCCCCGGGGCGGCCCCGGGGCCACCAGCGCCCGCCTCGGTCCCCCCGGTGGTACGCCCCCGGACCCGCTTCCCACCAGGCACGCAGGGGGCGCGCAGAACCCGCAGCGCGGCCGGAGCTCGCTGGCCCCGCCACGGCCCCGAAACGACCTCCCCTTCCCTGAGCAGCGCCCAACTCGGGCCTCACCATAGCGGCCGCTCTGCCTCGGGAGCGAGGGCTCCCGCTTCCTGGCCCCGCGGCCGCAACTCACGAGCGGCCGGCAGGGCAGAGGTCAAGAAGAGAGGTGGAGAGCGCGTGCGCAACGCCGCGCCGGGCATGCGCATTGCCTCGATGCTGAGGGGCGGGGCAAACGTGTGACGTACGCACCATGGGCGGATCAGGGGCGGGTCCTGCTGGGAGGGGCGGGTGATGCGCGGCGCCAGGAGCTTCTCTGGCCTTGTTTATCCTGGTGCGCTAGGAGCAGCAGAATACGTGCGTCAAATGCATGGCAATTTCTTCCCTTGATTTTGCAAAAATATTTGGGACTAAAAGACATGCAATAAACACAGCACCTCACGAACATAATAAGGAGTAAGATGCCAAATTCTCACAAATATTGAAGACAACAGGAAACTTCAAAATAGGTTTCATTCCAGGTTCCTTCAGCCTGAGAAGGAGGGATCACTCCCTCCTCCCTCACGTCTTTACTCAAATGTCAACTCAGTGAGGCCCACCCTGACCCCCTACCAACGCTGCAAATTGCCCTTTTTAGTAACGGCTTTATTGAGATAGAAGTCACACACCATACAATTCACCTTTTTTGTGTGTGTGTGAGGAAGACCAGCTCTGAGCTAACATCTATTGCCAATCCTCCTCCTTTTTTCCCCTTTTTCTCCCCAAAGCCCCAGTAGATAGTTGTATGTCATAGCTGCACATCCTTCTAGTTGCTGTTATGTGGGACGCTGCCTCAGCATGGCCAGACAAGCGGTGCCACGGTGTGCGTCCTGGATCTGAACCTGGGCTGCCAGTAGTGGAGTGCGTGCACTTAACCGCTAAGCCACCGGGCCGGCCCCCAATTCACCCTTTTAAAGTGCACAATTCACTGCTTTTTAGTATATTTAGTTGTGCAACCATCACCACTAGTTCCAGAACATTTTCATCAACCTCCCAAAATACTCTGAACCCTTTAGCCATGACTGCCCATTTCCCTTCCCCCATCCCCCCGCAACCACTCATCTCCGTTCTCTTATGGATTTGTCTGTTCTGGACGTTTCATACAAATGGGATCATACTATATGTTGCCTTCTGTGTCTGGCTTAAACCTCCATTCTTTTTTTTTTTTTTTTTTTTAAGATTTTTTTTTTTTTATTTTTCCCCCCAAAGCCCCAGTAGATAGTTGTATGTCATAGCTGCACATCCTTCTAGTTGCTGTATGTGGGACTCGGCCTCAGGATGGACGGAGAAGTGGTGCCTTGATGCGCACCCGGGATCCGAACCCGGGCCACCAGCATTGCAGCGCGCGCACTTAACCACCAAGCCACAGGGCCGGCCCGTAAACCTCCATTCTTGATCCCCTCTCTTTTTATCCCCAAAGCTCTTATCACCTTTATGATGTCATTCATTTATTTTATGCTTATAATCTGTTCCCTCCCACTAGAATGTGGATTCCTGGTGGGCAGGACTTTGATTTTTTCTCTACTCTTTTTTTTTTTTTTCATTTTTCATTTATTTATTTTTTCCCCCAAAGCCCCAGTAGATAGTTGTATGTCATAGTTGCACAGCCTTCTAGTTGCTGTATGTGGGACGCGGCCTCAGCATGGTGGGAGAAGCGGTGCGTCGGTGCGCACCCGGATCTGAACCCGGGCCGCCAGCAGAGGAGTGCACGCACTTAACCGCTAAGCCACGGGGCCGGCCCTGATTTTTTCTCTACTCTTGAACATCAGCACCTGGATGGGTGGCTGGCCCATGGAAGGCATTCAACAAACGTTTGTTGAATGAATGAAAGTCGGGCAGCCTTGTACTATGTTCTGGACCACTGCCCTTCTTTTCTTTCTGCCAACTCTCCAAATTCTTTCTTCCCTCAGCATCCTTCCTTCTGTCTGAAATGTTCTTCTCAGGGCTCTCTCAGTGGCTTAGCAGCCTTCAGATCTTAGTTCTCAACTTAAATGTCATCTTCTCAGACCCTGAACACCCTGCTGCCCCTTGCATACCAGTGGCTCCCTTTCACGTAATTTATCTTCTTTATAGCTCTCTTCACACTCCCCACTTGCTAACTGGCACACAGTCTGGCTCCCCTGCATAAGAAGACTATAATAAGTGCCTCGAGGGGCCTTGTCGCTCCTGTTCATTACGGGATCTACCACCCAGAGCACTGCTGGACACCTATGTGTTGGATGAATGAATGAACTCCCAGCAGCATGCAGCTGAAAAGGCCTCAGGAGTAAAGTGGGGCTTGGGACAAGGGGGAGCTCATGGCCAAATCGCCCTCCCCTACACTCCCCCCCTCTTCCAGCCAACCCAGAGACCACTGTGGCACAAGAGGTGGCCAGCTTAGAAAAGTTTAATTGCTGTAAACATCCAGATCATGTGCAGGACAGTCTCTGCGGGGCCCACACCTCCTTAATTGGGCCCTCAGCTCGGTGATGTCCTCTTCTCCTGGCTTCAAGCCTGGGGAGCAGGGTGACTCGTCCCAGGCCCCTGAGGCTGGTGCTGCTCCAAATGGCCTGGCGGGGGGCCGGCCCCCAAGGCCCTTGACCAGAACTAGAGCAGTAGGCAAGATGGGGTGGCATGTAATACTGAAGGTGCTGGGTGAAGCCAGCCCAGGCTGGGACCAGCCCAGGTCAGAGTAGGGGAGACAGGGAGCCTTCCCAGGGACATGCTACTGACCCCCTACCCCCCGACACCCCTGGCTCCACATGCTAGCAGGCAGCTGAGGAGAAGCAGCTGGTCCCAGAGAAAGCAGAGGTGCAGACAATCCACCAGAGTTGCAGCAGGGCCCTGAGGCCATGGAAATCCCCAAGACCCAAAGGAAGCCAGAGCTTCTGGGATGAGGTGTGCCAGGGCTGACAGGTATCTTCCAGTTTGAGGGTGAGATGTGAGGTGTGCAGGGGGCACCAGGTGGTTCTAGGAGGTGGCACCAGCAGGTGACGCCAAAGGTAGCTGGTGGGCAGGCTAGTCCTGGGGAGATAAACCAGGAAGTGGGAGGGAGTTGAGAGGGCCTGGGGAAGGGAGATGGCACATGCTGCAGGGGTTTGTGGGGAGGGACAGATGCCGGGCCCACTTGTCCACTCACCCACTCATCCTCGTCCACACCTTCGAAGGAGTCCTGGGGGAGCGGGTCCTCCCGGTTCCCCAGCTTCGCCACCATGGCATTCAGCAGCTGGGAGAGTAGACAGGAGAAGAGGTGGGAAGGGAATGGGACTTCCAACCCCAAGAACGTCAGACCCCAGTTTAAACCCCGTCAAGGTTGTGAAAGAGCCATTTTCATTAGAGCCCTGAGAGATATGAAGGTTTTCATTGAAAAAGACACCTTGACAGAGACGAGGGAGCCTAAGACAGACTGTGACATGCAGCACCAGAGTCACAGGGCAGCTGTCTCCACACACTGCCTCAGAGGCTCAAAATGTGCACCAGGGTCCCAAAACCTCCAGTTCCGGCTGGGTTGGGCCAGGCCAGGGTGGGGCCTCTCTCTGCCCTTCTCTGGCTTCCCAAGCCCTGTGCCCCTTGGGTGGCGGTCAGCTTCACGGCTCCAGAAGGTCTCCCTATCAAGCTCTCCAACTGAGAGGGGTGTGACACTGGCTCCTGTCCCAGTCTGGGTCAGGGCAGAGAACTGAAGGCTCACAGGGGCAAGCACCAACTGAGGGACATCGTCCCCTCACACGGTCAGCCCCCTCCCACGCCTACCTCTTCCTTCTTTTGCTGGTCCGACTTCTCTTCCAGGTAGAGCGCTGAGGATGGGGCCCGCCGGGCAGGGGCTTCACGGGGCGCCTGGCTCACTGGGGCAGGGCAGGGACAGGGATCAGACATCAGAGTCCCCTTGGTGGGGGCTCCTTGCCCAACCCTTTGGTACCGGCCTCTAGAGGATTCCATGGTAGAGACCTCAGAGGTAGCATTAACAGCTACTGAATTCTCTGTTCACAAGGACTGCCCTGGGCACCAGGCTGCCTGCGTGCGTGCATGTTGGGATGGGCACTTATGATGCCAACACAGACCCTGGGCCCTGCCCTCCCGGGGCTCAGAGACTGAGCCTGTAGATGCAGTCATCTCATCGGCGGAAGCACCAGAGGTTTCTCTATGCCGGCAAGGCCGGAGGATTGGACTTGGGCCTTCTGCCCCCTTCTCCAACCCTGACCCACTCCCCTGCTCCCTACCTGCCCCCTGGTCCCTCATCCTACCTGGGGTCATGCCCGGGGGCTGCAGGCTGAGAAGCCGGGGCTGCCTGTTAGCACCTCCCAGCCAGGCCTTGGCACTGAGTACTGGCTCCCAGCTCACGGCTGTGTCTGGGAACACGTCATCCTGGAAGAACTCTTTCTGTAGGGAGGGAGGAAGGGGCTGCCCTGAGGCACTGACCAGAGGCCCAGGGCACACTGGCATCCATTGGGAGGGGGCCGTGGCAAGACCCGGGACCCTAGTCTAGAGTTTCTAAGAGTTTTAGAATCTCAGCAGAGTAAAGGGGACAGATGCCCCAGAGAGTAGTGAGTGGGGCAGTTTGGTGACAGGGCCAGCTGAGCCTCAAAGCCTCTGATGGGCTAGGAAAGGGGCTGGGCGTCAGTGCGCTGGGGGACCCAACCTCACCCTGACCCGGGGCAGCCGGAAGGCGACGGGCTCCAGGGACGTCTGGCGAAGCCGCAGGCATCGGGCAAACTCCACTTCCCGCACATCGCACTCCGTCTTGGGCAGGAGGACGAAGCCCTGGGGAAGCAGAGGTCTGAGCTGGGGCTGCAGCCCAGAGCTCACGGCCCCCCTCTCTTAGGGCCTCCAGGACCAGGCCTATGCCTGGACAGCAGGGTCCTGGCAGATGTTTAACAACCAGGAAAAATGCCCTGATTTGTAGCATTTGCCTATTTCCATGGTGTGAAAACTCCCACCACTGCCGATCTCACGCTATCAGCGTGACTTGCTGAACACAGACTTGGGAAGAGAGGTGCAGCAGCTTGCCATCGTGCAGTACTTCCACCGGACAGAGCCAACAGATGTAAACAACCTCAACAGCACAGATAAGAGTAAACTCGGGTAAAATAATGAGGAAGTGATAAATTGGGTATTTATTGTCATGGTTTCTAATATAATTTATTTGTAGGTTCATATAACTTAACTTTATATAGTTTAATTTTTAATAATGGTTGAGTTTAACAACCAGCTCTCCCAAGCTGCTAGGCACACCTGGGCCCAGTGACCTACCGACCTCACCAGCCCCCGCACTTCCCTACATGGCCGCGAGAGGGCGGGGGAGCCCCGCGGTCCCACCTAAGCAAGGAGGACCAGGGAGCCCACGGGCTCACCTTGTGGGGGTCGGGGGACGTGAAGCTGTTGCACTCCAGGAAGAAAGGGGCCTCGGGGAGCAGCTCGTACAGGAACACGCGCGTGTCACCCTGGGGAGAGCGGCAGGGAGAGTGAGGTGGCCAGCTAAAGCTGCCTTCCTCCTACCTCCTCTCACCTGCCCACCGCCCCCCCACCTGCCCACCCCAGCCCACCTTGCCCGTAAGCAGCACCAGGCTGGTGTCCGGGTCGTAGCTGGGCAGCAGGGTCGAGGGAGCCACGTCTAGTCCCAGCACTGCCAAGGGGCCACCAGCCAGGGCCTTGGCCGAGTACAGGAGTAGCTGGCGCTCACTTCGGCTGCAAGGGGGGACCAGGGGGCAGAAGCAGGTCCTTAGAGCTGGAGGGACTGGGGCAGACTTCAGCAAGAACCCTGATCTTGTTGGGCTGGGAAGCTTCAGGGCCTTCATTCTCTTTCCTGGTCCAGCCCTCAGAACTCCTGGCCTGGCCTAATGCAAGAGTGTCCTAACCTGCCGCCCTGCCTGGGCCCCTCCTCCCCTACTACTGCCCCCTCCACTGCCCTCCGAACCTCCTCAGCACAGTCCTGGCCCCAGCACCTGTGGACAAAAGTCTGGATTTCTCTCCCCACATTCTGCTTCTCGTCCTCTGCTCCAGCCAGGCTGGTCAGCTTTCTGGCCTTTCTGCCCAGACATGAATGCCCTCTCCTCTGGGTCTCTGGTTACCAGCCCCTTTGTGATCCAGTTCACATGACACCTCCCTTAGGAGGCCCTCTCTGATCCCTCCTCCAAAGCGCCAAATGCCCATCCCTTGGACCTCTCCAGTAGGCTTGGTTCTGTGTTTCATGTGCTTTACCTGGTTCCCACCAGGCATGAGCTCCTTGCAGCAGGGCGTGGCTCTCATCTCTCTGGGCCCCCAGTTGACTCATTCTTCCTCCCCACCTCCCTCCCTCCCATCCATCCAACCTCCCACCCACCCACTCATCCATCCATTCATCCATCCATCCATCCACTCATCCATCCATCTACCCACTCATTCATCCATCCACCCACCCACTCATCCACCCATCCACCCACTCGTCCATCCATCTACCCATCCAGCCAGCCAGCCACCCACCGATCCACTCATCCACCCACTCATCCGTCCGTCTACCCATCTACCCACTCATCCATCCACCTATCCACCCATCCACCCATCCACCCACCCATCCACCCACTCATCCACCCACCCACCCACCCATCCATCCATCCATCCATCCATCCATCCATCCATCCATCCAGTGAGGGGCAGGGACAGCTTCTGCACGCCTGACAGGTGTATGTGTGCCTGGGGAATGGGGACACGGGTGCCTGCTGAAGTCTGGGGATGGGGATGGTGGGCCCTGAGTCCTACCTGTCAAAGCCAGATACCAGCAGACAGTGACCATCACACACCCAGACAACGCGGGCTCCACGGGCCCCCTCAGGCCCTGGGCCTTCCTGTTGGGATACAGCACGTAAGGCCCAGCCGCACCCCCGTGGCCGGGTCTGAGAGCCACCCCCAGCCCATCTTGCTCACCTGTAGTGGCTCAGGGCCACTCCGAGGCTCATAGACCCGTAAGTGCCCATCTTTGCAGACAGTGGCCAGCTGCTGCCCGTCAGGACTCCAGGCCAGGCCAAAGATCTGGGGGCAGGTGGGGACGTGAGAGGTAGCCTCTTGCCTTGTAGCTGGGCATCTGCCTCCATAACTGTCCTACCTGGTCCCGGTGGCCCTGTAGCCTCAGCCGCTCAGCTCCAGCCTGAAGGTCCCAGATCCGGACAGTAAGGTCGTAGGACGAGGAGGCCAGCACGTTGGCTGCCAGCGGGTGGAAGCGCAGAGAGTAGATCTTTTCTGTGTGGCCTGGGGGCGAGGCATGGGGTGACGCTGAGCCCCTCAGGAGCCACTGCCTGCCTCCCAGCCCCCTCCTTGGGCCCACCTGACCTGTGAGCATGGCCTCAGGAGTGGTGAGCACCTTTTCCAGGCCCTCAGGGGGCACCCGCCACAGTCGGATCCTGGCGTCCTCCCCGGCTGCAGAGAGCGCAGGCTCAGGCTCATTACTGCTGGGTGCAAGACCCCCGGGCTCCCCCTGCCCCCATTCAGGACCCGGGAACCTCCTTGAGCCCAGTGCCCAGCCTCCTTACCCACAGCAAGGCGGTGGGGGTCAAAGGGGTCCCAGGCCAGATCAGTCACAGCTACCCCATTCTGCAGCGTGGGCAGCACTGTGTCAGGCAGGCGGCCAGGCTTCTGTAGCTGTGGGAGGTGCCCCCACCCCGAGGCCCATCAGCAACAGGCAAGAGAGCCCGGTCCCCAGGGCCTGCAGGGCAAGCAGAGTGCCCAGGCCCCAACCTGTGCAGCCAATGCCCCACCCTGGGTCGCCCAAGCTCCCTGCCTCAGCCACCTCGTGCTCTGAGCCCCAAGTGCCCACCGTGAGGCCCCAGAAAGTGAGGGGGGCAGTGTGGAGTGGTGGAAAGAGCTCAGGCTTGGGACTCAGGTGGCCTGGGTACAAATCCCAGCTCTACCACTTACATAGCTGTGTGACCCAGCAGGTCACTAAATCTCTCTGTGCCTCACCGCTCTCATCTGTAAAATGGGGATAAGAATAGCACCCCCGAATGGGGCAGGTGGGAAGATTAAAGGGGATAAGGGGACATGGGTGCCTAGCACATGGTTTGTGCTCAGAGAATATGAGCTGCTATGGGTACCCGATACCCTTAGCATCCTGCAGAGACCTGAGGGGCAGCCGTGGTGGTGGGGTCCCTCACCTCGAGCACGGCCACCTGCCCACCGCTGCTCAGCAGGGGCACAGCCACACGCAGCCGGTTGGCACAGAAGCCGTCGCTCTCGCCAGGCGTGGTAAGGTTGAGCCCTTTGAGGTTGGTGATGTGGCTGTCTCGGTGCAGGACAGTGCCCTGAGCGTGGCGGAACTTGGAACTGGGGCCTGGCGGGTAGCAGGGACATGGAGCCACGTGAGGATGCCCTGCCTGCCCACCCTGCGCTGTCCTGCAGGAGGACCCCAGACCAACCCTGAGTCCCGGCTGCCTGCTTTCTTCACTGCAAGATCAGGTAGGGCGTGTGCCCAGGCCTCTCCTGGGCCAGCCAACACAGCTCGCCCAGAAGGGCGCCAGGGAATGAGACCTGAGGTATCTCGGTGGAAGCCGGGCGCTCCAGGGACTGTCTAGGTCAACTTCTTACAGATGAGACTCACTTTACCCACAAGGACGAATGACTCCACCAGGAAGGGAGGTAGGACTTGGGGAGGGGGAGGCACGTCTGTGGGGGAGGCAGGGCTGTGGGGGGAGGCAGGGTTATGGAGGCAGCAGGACTGTGGGGGAAGCAGGGCTGTGGGAGGAGGCAGGGCTGTGGGAGGGTAGGGCCGTTAGGGGAGGCGGGGCTGTGGGGAGGCAGGGCTCTGGGGGGAGGCTGGGATCTGGGGGGAGGCAGGGCTGTGGGAGGGCAGGGCTGTGGGGGGAGGCAGGGATGGGGGAGGCAGGGCTGTGGAGGAGACAGGGCTATGGGAGCAGGCAGGGATAGGGGAGGCAGGGCTGTGGGGGAGACAGGGCTATGGGGGCAGGCAGGGATGGGGGAGACAGGGCTGGGGTATAGAGGAGGATGGCTGGGGTGGGGGTAGACAGGGCTCCCACCCTCACACACTGACCCAGCAGGCTCTGCAGTGACCTCTGGCTGGGGCTGGTGCCGATGCCGCTGGTGCTGGATAGCGAGGGCCCCAGGCTAGAGGGCGTGGAGGGCGAAGTCAGCGAGGTCAGTGAGCTGGGAGGGGAGGAGAAGCCCTCCTGGGGGAGAAACACTGGGTCAGCCAGCACGCCCCTGGGGGTGTTGGCCAAAGAGAGAGGGGATGCCCGAGTCATCACTCTGGGCCCCTCCTCCCGGCTGTGGGACACTGGGCTGGGCATGAAGCCCCATTGTGGGGCATGGGGTAGGCACATAATCGCAGACAGGGGCTGGGGGTAACACGGGGGTGAGCTGAGCTTTAGGCTATAGGGACAGCAGGTGGCAGCTGCCAGCTCCCAGTTTTGTGGGAGGGCGGGCCTAGAGTAGTTAAGATCTGCCAGTTTTTCAAGAGAAGCCAGAAATCTAGATTTTCATGTGAAGTCTCTCACTTTCTAAGTGTTTGCTCAGTTTAGAGAACACTGTGAGGTTCTTTACGCTTCATGCGCTTTCTGTCTGTTATGCTTAACAGCTAGAAAAGATAAAAAAGACCATTGGGCAGGCGAACACACTCGCCAGCTCTGACTCAGGGTCCCCACTGTGATGTTGTGATGGGGCGGCTAAGCGGGCAGCCCTGGCACTCACGCTGGGGTCCGCATCGCCCACAGGCATCTCTACAGGCTGGGCCACATCAGGGGGAGGCTCTGCAGGGGGCACCAGGCGGGAAGTGAAGCTGGAGTGGGGTCGGCGGGCCGGGTCCAGGCTGACCCTCTGCACCTGTGGGGAGAGGCCAGCAGTTGAGGCAGGAGGGATAGGAACGGCAGGGGGAACAGAGGGCAGCTGAGAGAGCGCATAGCCGGACTGCGGGGCCGTGAATGGGGCTGCTGCCTGTGGGCTCCCAGGGGCTGGTGGGGGCCTGGAGCAGCAGCCAGGCCTTAGCCCTACCTGCTGGTTGCTCCCAGCCCACCAGGTGTGGGGGTCGGAGGCGGGTACACAGCCTGCGGCGTCTGGGAACAGGTCCTCGTGGAACTCCACAGCCTGGTGGCAGACAGGTACATGGCTGGTGAGGCCTGGGTCCCCCAGGCCCTCCCAGACCCTCACCCAGTCCCCCCTTACCTTGCGGGGCACGTGGTAGCTGATGGGAACAATGGCTGTGTCGCTCAGCTGCAGGACACGGAGCACCTCGCAGCCCATGACAGCCAGTGCCCGCCGGGGCACGAGGGCTGCCCCCCGCAGTGCGCTCTCCAGGAGGCACTGGGTCACTGTTGGGGACACCGTGGGAGGAGGGTCAAGGTGGGTGGGGGAGGGAAGGGGAGAGGGGGAGGAGGGCAGGGCTTACCTGGGCTCAGTGCCGGCTGCTGTGGGGCCACCTCGTAGCAGGACAGCTGACTCTCACCCTGAAATGAGCCCAACCTGAGCACCGCTCACTGACCACCCCCTGGTGGCCTGGGGCATGCCCTGGAAGCACCAGCTATCCTCTCCACCTCCCACCCGGTTCCTCTCCCAGGATCTGAGCCCCAGAACCATGGCAGACATCTACCAGGCCCTGACTGTGTGCTGGGCACTGAGCTGAGCCCTCAGTAGACTTTAACCAACCTGTTCGTCATCACTGTGCATGGAGTGAGCACCGGGGGTATACGTTCAGTATTTACAGAGTGACTACTGTGTACTAACACTGCTCTATTCTTGGCCTTGTCCTCATGAAGCTGATGTTTTAGGGGGGTTATAGTCACATGACTGTGCGGATGAAGACGCAGGGGACCGGATACGCGGAGCCCCTGGCGGATGCTGCTCAGCCGGGTGGTGGTGGAGCCTAGGCAGTGCTGTTCTAGTTCCTCCTTTCTGGGGGTGGAGGGCATCCTGCACTCCCCACTCTTGCAGCTAGCTGGTTAGGTCAAAGGTTGGGGCCACCCCTGGCAAGTGAGGGCACCAGCCCCGGGGGCTGACACGGGTGGACATGGGTCGGGGCTCCAGCTTCTTGCTTACCTTTCCTGCCAGGACCAGGAGCCCGGAGTCTGGGTCCAGCAGGGGCATCAGAGACCTGGAAGAGAAAGACCTAGTCGGCAGGATGCGGTCAGCCGCCCGTGGGCGAGGGACAGCAGGATTGTGAACCTCATGACCCCAGACAGGGGCTCAGGCCCAGCGCCACAGTGGCCAGGAGCAATGCGGCCCCTCCAGCTGCGTCGAGCCTGGTCCCCCAGACCCCTCCGCCTCCTCTCCCTGTGCTACCAACACACCAAGCACATCCCCATGTCCCAGCCTGTCTTCCTGGGTCCTCCGTCTGCCCACCTGCTTCACGCCAGGACTTGTGCCAGGCACTGGGCACAGGGGAGCCATCCCCTTTCTGCACTTCAGATCCCCGCCCCGGGCTCAGCAGCTCCAGAAGACCCCACACACATTCTGCCCCTGGTCCCACCTCGGCCAGCCTAGACATCAGGCCAGGGAAGGCGAGGGTGGTGCCAGAACCACAGATTCCCTCCACCCCTACCCAGTGCCAGTCAACCCCAGCGTACCAGGTCTGCACTAAGGTTTGGGGGCCATCTACTCAGTCACCTCACGCTCCTGGGGCCTTGATGACATCTTAGAGACTCGGAACCCGACTCCCCACCAGCCTTGAGCCCCCGTGCCCAAGCCTGAGCCAGGAGCCGGGAGCCGGGGCTCTTTTGCCACCGTGCTTCCCTGCCCTCCCCATCCTCCATCCCATTTCAGAGCCGGAGAGGCCTAGGGAGGGGCAGTGGCTGGGAATGTGGAGGGCAGGCTGGAAGCCCCCAGAGATCTTGCTGCCCTGTGCCCATCTCGTCTCAGCCAACGGCCTGTCGCTGCTCAGGGATTTACGACTCCCCTCCCTGTGCCCTGCGGGGCCCCTCTGCAGCCCCCAGTCCTGCAAGCACTCCTTTCTGGCTCAGGCTCTGGGGAGCGGGGGACAAGGAGAATTCGGACGGGTGCCTTCATCCATTTCTGTGTCTTGCTCCTGGTCTTGGTCTCACATCCCTGGGGACCCGTGGGCCTGGACCCCTACACAGATGCTGACACTCGCTCCACACAGAACTCCGTGGTTCTCACTGTGGTTCCAGTGGTCAGAGGTCACCCAGCTGTGGCAGCTGCCTCTACCCCTCACCCAGGCAACCAAGAGCCCAGCCCCCTTCCTCCTCCTCTGCCTGTTCATCCCCTCCCGGCCAGCTGCCCAAAGCTGCAGCCCATCCCCCCTCCCCACCCTGCCAGGAGCCAGAGAATGGACTGGGAAGCTGGGTGGGGCCCTGAGTGTCTCCACAGCTTCTTAGAGTGCCCTGGGCCGGTCACCTGTGAGTAACGCAGCTTCTCATTACCTCGGGCTGGCAGGGTGAGCTGGGCTCAGAACTGCCCTTCTTGACCTGGTCTGACCACTGCCTGCTGCAGGGGAGGGGGTCGGGGTGGGGGGACAAAGTGGGTGTGTGACCTGGGGTGCCCCCCATGCTGATGCTGGCTCCACTGGGGCCGGATGCAGGTCCCTTCCACAGTTGTAACAAAGCTTTCACTCACTCATTCATTCACAATCATTCATTCTTTTGGCTAAAGCTGGCCTATGCCTGGTCCTCAGCTCAGCCTGCAGGTATGACCAGAGATGAATGCAACAGACCCCACCTCTGTCCTCAAGGAGCTCATGGCCTGCTGTGAGAGACAGACACAGTCCTACAAATAAACACGTGAAGGAAAAGTTCTCCAAGGACACACAACAAGGGGCAGAAGGGCCTGACTTTGGTTGGCCAGAGGGGAGGGGGTGTTCCCCATGACCCAAAGGTTAAGGAGGAATCAACCACATCAAGGGAAGAGAGTTCCAGGCAGAAAAAGCAGCACGTACAAAGGCCCTGTGGCAGGTGGGTGCATGGCCTATCTGAGAAACAGGGAGAAGGACAGCATGGCCAATGGGTGAGGGTGAGGCTCAGGATGGAGTGGGCAGAGGCCAGACAGAACGGGGCCTGGTGAATCAGGAGGGGAGTTCCTCCTCCCTCTGTCAGACGAGCAACGAAAAGCTGATGGCACGTCTTAAGCAAAGAGGGACAGGATCAGATGTCCACTGAGCAGAAATCACCACGTGGAGACAGGCAGGAGGAGTGGAAACACGAGGTGACGTGGGGCTCAGGGCAGAGTCTGAGAGCAAGTAAGCTGGGGTGACTTGTTACCTCGTCGCTGCCTTGGTGAGAGCTGGGGAATGGGCCTGTGGGTTCCGCCATGGCATTGATGGTCACCTGTGCTCTAAACCAACCTCGTTGAGAGGCTTGACCTGGCCTCCCCACAACCCTGCCCCATCAGCCCCAGTTGGCCAGCCCACTGACTCAGGCGCTGGGGGTGTGGGGGCAGGAAGTCACAGAGGGCAGGGCTGGCTCCTCCGACAGGTCAGGCCGGTCTTCCTCGCCTCTGGCAGAGCCATTTGGGCAGCTCCACCAGGTGGGAGCATCCTGCCCGCCACGGCACGGGCCAGGAAATGGGGTCATGGCACCTGGCCCCAAGGGCTGGCCAATAGGTGGCACAGGGCTGATCCCAGGCCTTGTAAAGAGAGCCAGGCTGGGTCTGGGTCTGGAATGCAGAACCAAGCCCTAGCCTGGCAGAGGGCCAGAGGTGGTGAGAGCTGGCACAGGCTCCTCTTCCGCTGCCATGGCTTGCGGGGAGGGCTGACATCTGAGCCTGCCACTGAGAAGGGCTCCGACATGGGTCCGGGTCCAGGGGTCTGCTTCAGACCCAAAGTCTAGAAGGTCTAGAGCCCAGATCTGCCCCCACCCCCAAGCCCAGGTCCCTGAAGATGCAGGATAATGGTGGTACTGAGTAAGTCACGTGGGGGAGGGTTACCACCCTGATAATCCCAATATCCCTGCAATCATCACAGTAGAAGTATGGGCTGTGCCTGCTGGGAAAAGCAGCTTCTAGAGTCCTCCTCTGCTTCTCCCCATCAGACCCACCACCTAGACATCCTGGCATTGCCACCACTCCAAAGCAGTCCAGGTCCCTTAGATCTGTCCCTGTTACCAAGGCTGGACAGTGGGGACCCCCTGGACCAAGCCCTGCTCCACACTCCTTAGCTCCCTCCCCTCATGGAGGCTCCAGGTAACCAGGTTCCAAGGGGGAAGGTGCCTTGAAACCATATGAGGAAAGGATGGACACACTGGACAGACTTCTCCTGGAAGCTGCTCTTGACCCTTTGGGTCGATGGGAGCATGGCCTGTGTGAGTCCAGCTCAGGATCGGGGTAGGGGGTGGACCTTTTAGGCAGGGGGGAAATCTCTCTATCAGTGAGAACTCACCACAGAGGTGACCTGTTCCTTGGGGAAAGGGAAAGTCAGGCTGGAGGGGCCTCTGTGGACCCTCTCGAGGGTCTTAGGGGACAGAGGGCCCATGGGCAGAGACACAGGGACAGTCTGACTAGAGCCACACAGCACCGACTGCAAACTCAAATGCTTCCCGGACCAGGCAGGAAACTGAGCGAGTGAAGCAGCCTGGTGTGAGACAATTGGGACTGGTGGGGACTGGGGCATGTGTGAGCTCAGGCCTTGGCCAGAGGGGGCAGCTGCCACTCAGCCCCCATCGAGAGTTCCTGTTCAAGGCAAGCTGGGAAGTCCCGTTTTAATGTGCAATCGCCGGATTTTTCAATGTTGGCAATGGCTTCAAAGTTTTAAAAAGTCCCATACAGGCCAAATGAAACACAGCCGAGGGCCAGCTCTGGCCCAGGAGCAGAGGTTCACAAGCCATGCCCCACATCCACATATACCAAGAAAACTATGCAGTGTGGACCCTCGCCCGTCCTGAAAAGGGACCCTCTATGGAGAGGGCCCAAAGAGGCTAGGAGCTGAGAGAGGAAGTCTGGGTGGCTGTCCCAGCTGGACCCTGCTGAGCCCATTAGCAACTGGACACGGACACCATCCTGCCTTCTGGAGGTGATCAGGTCCTCCAAAGACCACATGACCCCCCTGCTGGTGTGGCTCAGCCTCCTGGGATAAGCCTTCAGGGTCATGGAGACTTCAGCTGGCCCAGCCAAAGGCCCTGGCTGCAGGCCAGGCTGAGGGGGTGTCCTGGGGCCCTCTGGAAGTTGGGAGCTGAACTGAGTCCCAAAGGCTCTGAGGCATGACTCTGACCGCAAACACGGGGCGGTGGGGGGAGGAGGCAGGGGAGCCAGAGCGTTTTCCTGGAATCCTCCAAGGCAGGGGATTTTTCTGGACTAGTTCAGCCCTGGCACCCGCCCCTCCTGCCCCATCTAGAGCCACTGTCAGCTGCACCCAGGCCCCACCCACTGAGGTGAGGCCCAACCTCTGACCTCATCCTGGCCCCCCCAGCACATTCCGGCCTTGAAGCTGCCAGTAAGCGTGGGGCCTTGGGCAGACTGTCACATCCCCTTCCTGCGTCTCAGTCCCTTTGTCTAAGGTGGGGAAGGTGGTCCAGGGACGCTCACGGCCCTGACAGCTGTTATGGCTAAAAGGACCCCAGAACTCAGATTTGGTATTAGAAGTTGTACCTAGGAAGCTCTCAGAAGGGCTCTGTGTGGCCTGCTCAGAAGTTTTTGAAATTGGGATTAGCTACCAACAATAACGCTTTGAGAGATTTCACCTAAAAAATCCAGATTTCCAGTTTCTCTTGAAAAATCCAAAGCTCTGGCAGGCTGGGGCAGGTCATGGGGGCTGAGCCCTTACACCAGCTCCCACTTCCCCTACCCGCTCAGCCCCCGCTTCTCCAGGTCTCCACAGCTGCGGGGGCCGGCTCCTCCAGTTTCTCACCTGCCTGTGTGTCATGAGCATCCGGGTTTGGGACTCTTGGTCTCACTCAATATTCCCTTGCTTTTTACGCTAAAAACAGCGACCTGCCCAGGGTCATACGGCAAACTACTGGCACACCAGACTGGAGCGAGGGACTCCTGACGGGCCGGCAAGGTCTTTTCGGCCCGCCTGGTCGGGAGGTGGCGAGGTGAGGACCAGGCTGCCGGACCAGTTGACCCTTCAGCTGAGGGGAGGCGGGTCTCCGTCGGCCCCGCCCCAGCCAATAGGGAGCCTCCCCGCCCCCCTCCCGCGGAGGCCCCGCC